ATTCAGTATTTTTATTATACAGAAATTCGGCTGTTTTTTAATTAAATAACTAATTTTTGTCTGGTGAACTTAAAAAGTTATTTGCCAAACAAACTTTTATTTGCACACATCAGAAATCTTTTGTTGTGATTTTGGGTCCTGCCCATGACGTCATGTGAGAATCACAAGCAAAACTTTGAGTCACAAATAAAAACTTAGAATATCAAGAAAAGATTTCTGACATGCACAAATAAGTTTGTTTTGCAAAAAAAAAAAATCACTTCATGAGACAAATGTGTGATTTAAATGTTTAAAAAAGTTTTAAGCAAAACTCAGTAGGCTTTTCTCATGGTGACATGCATTAACAATTAAATTTTTGCCTTTTTTTTTTTTTTCTTTTTTCTCCAATTCCACGTTAAAGTTTGATGCAGCTCTGCTTTCCTGAATGGACCATCTTCATCTCCACTGCAAGTGTAGCAAACAGGCAGCTCTGTTTTATAGATTACAGTCACTAAAAGGTTGCTTTGGGCCCTTGTTTATATTTTTAATAGTGTAATTCTGTAAAGACAAAATGTGTCTGGTGGTCTAGCTCTGATTTACATATCTCACTAAATTGCGGGTTTGAATATTGCAATACTTTCCTATAACAAAATAGACCTGCAGAAAGAAATTACTAATAAAATATCTTACATATGCATAGCTGTATGCTCTATATAGAGATTTTCTTTAGCTTTGATTGTATATCTCACAATTTTGTAATTTATCATTGTTTATTAAACTCTGAAAGCTGTGTGGCTTTAATATTCTGTCCTACAATGCGGTAAGATGTGCCCTCTTTTTTTTTGTTTGAGCACCTGCCCCTTTACTGGTCTCTGCAGGGCCCTGCTAGGACATGTCCACTATGACAGAGTGTGGCTGTGTTAATGCTGACATAATAAACTCACACCATCACACATCAGCTGCAGTAGACACACACAGTGTAGACCACTCAAAATACTGACTTTTCAAAAATATTTGATATGATACTGGAGTAATTTGGAGGAATTTTTGTCTTGATTGTTCAACAAAGGAACCTGTCAGTATTTACAAAAAAAACAATATAACAAGTGTTTTGAAGTTGTGTAAATCGAATCTAATAAAGTAGAAACATTCAAAGTAAGCCGTTGTCAGTGTGTGAATGTACCTCTGCATGCTTCTAGCTGGCCTGTAAGAACTTTACGGATCTCTGACACCCACATATTCTTCACATCCATGGAGGGAGCCTTGGGTAAAAATATATACAATATGTACAATACATACAGATCAAGCACACTGGCAACAAAAACCTGGAAAAAACAAAATGTGATACATTTGTGTCTGGAAGGGAATCTGCATGGCACAACGCTGCCCTCCAGCGGAGGACTGTAGAAAAGACATGATTAAATTTTCCATACCTGCTCTTAGAAATTATTTGGTTGGCTAAACTTAAACTTGCTTCAATTTATCATGTTTTTGACACTTTTTTTATTTTACAATTAATTTTAATATATTTTTTAGATCTACTGACAGCATCCAGTAGAGTAGATTTACAAGTTTTTCAAAGTAAAATTGTACTTTTAAAAATGAGAAGACTGGGGAACTGAACTGTTTTGTTCTTAATTCAAAAGCCAACTAAGTGTTTGTACTTATTGTTGTGAATTAGAATAATATATGTGGGTTTATTGTTAACAAAATGCAGTAACACTCTGCGCAAGCAGCCATAGGGCATAGCTGCAATTGTCAGTTATGAAGTTGTAATTAAAAAATGTTCATTATTCAGTTTGTCTTGTTGACTCTGAAATGAAATAGAAAAGTTTTTATAGCTCAGGGTTTTTTTCAGGGTTGTGGAGAAAGCAGGCTATTGTTTCAAAATTACTTTAATTTAGTTTTGATATAATAAATGGGATCTGCTCACCTTTTTTCAAAAATATCAACCAACCTATGCATTTTTTACTGGGTTTAGACAGGGAATGTCTTACAAATATTTATGTAAAATTGTGCATAAATTACTTCTGTTGCAAATAAAAATTGCAAGTAACCACAAATTTGGGATATTACCTTAAGTACAGTCACCAGGAGGATTTAATTTGAATCTTTTTAACCCCAGTTACACAGATAGTCAAACAAAACTTTGAACAAAAGTCATAAGTAAATTTGTGCAACTCCTAACAACATACCTGGATGATGTAAACTTCTTCTCTGCCATTGTACCACACCTCAAACTTTTTGTTGTCCCCTTTGACATTTTCTGTTATCCCCACCGAGCTCATCTAGATGGCAAAACAGAGGAAAACATGAAGAATACATGAGCTGCAGTTATTCAAAACCAGTGATATTCATCAGCATTCATCACAATCATGCAGACTTCTTCATCTTTCCATTTACTCTACTTTGGAACAGGCGGTTTGGCCGTTTTGTTTATTATTGCCATGGTGCTAGAAATTTACAAGTTTGTTTATTCTCCTTCTCTAAGGAACCATGTTTTTCATATATAAGATGTTTCATATAAATTTATGCAGGTTTGAGCTAAAATAACTTGTTTGTAATAACAGCAAACCTGATGCAGACTGAAAGCAAAATCACACAGAGATCAGCTCAGAGACACCCTGTAAAATCTGCAACTGATTTAACTGGTGAACAAGGCAACATTTAAAGCAATTGTTAAACTTTGTATGCTGGTTTCTGTGAAAGAGAAATGAACACACTCTTATGTGGTGTTTATGGCACTTTTTGCTTAAATATGCATTGTATGTTTTAGTTTTTACGGTGTGTCATGGTTCTGGGGCTAAATAAAAGAACATGACATCAGTATGAGGCGTGGATAATTGAAACTAGTGCAGCTACACAATCCACAACATGACTAATTATAGATTATAGAAACATGGTGAGAAACTCCAAGACAGAAGCAGAACAGTTTCACCTGCCCACCTCCACATACTCACCATTAGGTATGTCTCCCAAAAGTTGGATGCAGATAGTGATGGGAGACAGGTAGGGCTTGCATCCCAACAAAGCTAACTTAATGTTTTAATTGTTTCATGAAAGGAAAAAAGAAATGAATGTAACACTGACATTTTCTAAATGATTCCTACTGGCCTACACACATAAAGATTGTCAATATTAATAACTAGAGATCTCCATGTTTCCATTCTTCAACACTTTTAGTTCTGGATCATTCCTTTAAATCAAGTCTGACAGAGCCTTTTCAATAAATCAGTTTATTCACTAAATTTAACAAATTACATCATCACGTCATAAACACAGTATTACATTACTTACTTTACACGAGTGGGAAAGGATCACGAAGAAGTAAAGTCTTGTATAAACTTGCCTCTTTCTCAATAATTACAAAATAAATTTCATGGCTGTACACATTAAATTAACTTACCACGTAAGTTGCAAGAAATTTTAATTTCCTCATTATTAACTAGGAAGTACATATGTTAGGATCTGTGTTTTCTGTGTAGTTTTTCTGTGTTAGTCCAGTTTCCCCTGTGAATCTGTCTTCCCTGTTGATTGCTCCCAGCTGTATCCCGTTCCCTGATTACCTTCCCTGTGTATTTAACCCCACCTGTTGTCTTTGTCTGTGTCGGATCCTCGTCGTGTAACACCCTCGTCTCACGTCTGTGTCTGTTCCTGTGCTGCCAGTGATTTTCAGTTGTTTCTCCTGGTTTGTCATTAAATCATCTTATCATCATGACTACCTGGGTTCCCCGGCGTCTCTCTCACCACTCTCAACCACACATCATGACAGAAGGATCCGACCACAAGAGAGGTGAGGACGCCAGCGTGTGGGGTAGCGAGGCTTGGTTCCAGCAGCAGTTGGAGTTGGCTCAACGGGATCTTTACAAGGACGTGGAGATCTTGCCTTCTCCGCTGCTGCTGGAGGAACTGGGTCTTGCCTCTGACCTCGACGCACCCAGGCAACGCGGGCCGCGACGGAGGCGGCGGCGGGGACCAAGAGCGGAGGAGTTCTGTGGCGGAGCTCCAGCCAGCCGGAATCCCTGGGTGGGACCTCGGCTGGCGTTCTGCCCGCCCGGAGTCGGACCCCGCCGTTACTGCTGCCCTGAGCCGCCGGAGATCCCGGCCCCTGGGTCACGCCGTTTCCGCCGCCCTGAGCCGCCGGAGATCCCGGCCCCTGGGTCACGCCGTTTCCGCCGCCCATGACAACATAATAGTTTCTATTGTTTTATTATTAAGTGTTTTGAGTTGATTTATAGTTGAGCATTTTTTTTATTCCCGCCCAAATTGTTCCACAACTTTACTCTATTCACATAAATGCACAGTTGTTTCAAAGTAGTATGCACACTTTATCTTAAGCCAAATAATTTTTGTAATTTAATGGGCCATAACATTTCTAGCATTAAGAATAATTAATAGTACCTTTAAATTAAGCAAGTCCTTAGTTACAAGACAATTGATTGAATAAACAGTTTATTAGTATGTTTTCTAGTATTCGCTTTACATAAATTTTCAGTTTTCTTTTGTGTCACAGCACCTTAGTGTGACACAAAAATCACCTTAGTGTGTCACACTAAGGTTTTTTAAGTTTTGCCCCAGACAGAAACACAGTGGTATGCACTACATACGACACATAGGGGCGCTGCTGCTTTCTAGTTGACCTGTGCTGTAGGTAACTACTGTTTATGCATGTGTAAATGTTATGGTCAACATTTACACGTTATGGTCAATAACATTTACGCATGCATAAATGTGCAGGACTTTGTGCCCTGATGACTAGAGTTGAAAAACCCTTTCATTACTGTAATAATTTGTATCACTGAAAATAAAACTTCTTATTGTTTAAAAATATCCATCACCTAAAGTAAAATTAAAAATTGACTCTTGAGGTCTCGAGCTACCTTCTTCTCTGGAGGAACATCTGAGGGGCCACTCTCCCTGTTCGGGGGTCACATTCCTGAGAGCTTAAGGACCTCCGAGGCCTCATCTCTCCACAGCTGTGTCTCAGTTAATGTCTTGGTATTCCTTTTTGTGTCACTTCTTGATTTGATTGGCTCTGGAAGTCCCACAGAATCTTTGGTAGGGCATTCTTTATCCCTATTGGCTGAGCCTCTCACATTGACTTCTTGTACATTCCATGTTTTTTTTTTTTTTTTTTTTTTTTTTTTTTACCAACTTGCATCTTACAATTTGTTTTTAATTGTAACGTCAAGCGAGTTTGATAAGTTTGGCATTTAAAAACACTTGAACATTCAGTATAAAGTTCATCATTACTACAGTCAACATGAACAGAAAACTGCTGTAATTAGCAATTATTGTAGTTTGCTAGTCAGCTGTCATTGCTGCACATCTTCATAGAACAGTGGGATGTTATATTTCCAGGACACACTACTGTGCTCCAGCAATGAAATAAGAAACAAGTTTACACAACTAGTCAAATCGTTTTAGTCCACTTCTGTCTCTGACCTTTAGCGAGTGCTTAAAGCTGTATGATGGGGTCTTCTCATGTCCCTCAGCGCTCTCCTCCCGTTTCTTACAGAACAGTAGCATCTTATCATACAGGAAGAGGTGCCTCTGCATGGGCTTAAACCTGGCCAGGTCCTTCACCTGAAACCCACAAATCTGTCGGTTACTTTCTTACCATGTGTATTTTAATCATCAATGAAATTTAAGTTTTATTAGAAACATAAAGCACATCAGCACGTCAGACTATCTGATGTAGCAGAAAACAAAAACTACATATCCATCATCATCTGCAAAATTCTGTTTTCTTAGCTGTTATAGCTGTTATAGCTGTTATATAACACATTGTTCTCTCATTGTTAGATCCTTCGCATTCATTTGTTTCTATCAAACTCAAATCCACAATCTGTAATTACAATTTTCTTATATCACTCCTAGTGAAATCCTGAAAATCTTATCTGACTCGGATTAGCCTCGGTTCCTCTTGGGAGTGAGCTTAGAAGTGATAGCCTTCTCTTCCTGCATTAAAACAGTTCTACACTGAATCCTTTTAGTCATGACATGCTTTTAAAAAACAATCGTAACCACTGATGTTATAGCAACTTTTACGTGTTAGACAATTTTAACTTCATGTTTTTTCCTAAACTTCAGGAAGTTTGACTCTTTTGTTAAGAGGAAGAATTTGTTGTAATTTTTAAAGTCAAACTAAAACTTGTAGACAGTAATTAAAAAGAAAAAATGGTCAGAAACAGACACAATGCATCTTCATATTGACTGGTTCAAATTGGGGTGTTTGGGTGTACCTTGCTATGGCCTTTTTTATGGTCTGTCCACACATTAAAGGATCCCTGCATCAGCAGCTTCCCCAGTTCACTCAGGTTGCCCTGTAAATTAGCAAGAAGGTTGGCAGGGTTTAGACTTGAACATAACCTTATTACAGTTTTCAAGGTCTGTAGCATCATGAATTAGAAAAATCACATGTCATCATCTAATCAAAGACATACTTGTAACATTTATTTAAACAGCTTCTGAAACAAAGACCTGGAAAGTTCAGAACTTTCCAGATGAAGTTCAGATTAAAACCCTATCTGTTGTGGATTTTTAAAACACTTCTGAGAAATATGACCAGCTCAAGTCACTTCTTGTTTTCTTGTTATTACTCACATTTAATTTTATTACACACATTCTAGACATGTTTTTTTATGTTTGTATGACTATGTTTTTTGGTTTATTAAAGAAATCAATTATTAGTTGTAAAAATAGACTTTACTTGAGAAATATTTATTTTAGATGTAAAAACAAAGTAAAAATACATTAGGCTGTTTGGTTTTTAGAAATTTAAATAAAATATTGTCACATGGACATTGCCATGTTGTTTATGTTGCAATGCATTTTGGGTAAACGGCGAATGCTATGCACTAGTTTTGTCCAGGCAACACAGTGATGTCTAATGCTACGCTTTTTCAATTTGAACCAGAACATGTTGAAATTTATGGGAATGTAGAAATCACAAGAGGTAATAAAGATGAGTACTAAACAGAGGAAAGAGTTTGTGCTGCTGCTGTAGCCTTCAGCTTCAAGAATGAAACAGGTGGGACTGTGTAATCCGTAAGTAGTTAACATGCTCTCTGTCAGGTTGGGTCTTCAGTCTCGTGTTAAGTTCATGTTTTCACATTTGTTATCATTTAAAAGACCTTTCAGCGCTGCCTGTCTTTGGTGTTTCTTCCAGCTTCTTTTGCTCACTAGCTGGTGGCACGGTTTAGGCATTTGTGGATGGTAAATGGTTTTGTACTTGTATAGCACCTTAACAAGTTAAGATGATACTTTATACTACACTCATTCACGCACACACTCACACACTGATGGCAGCAAGGCATCTGATAGTAGCCACATCTTCCCTGTGGCAGTCTGCCAGAAGCAAACCTGCCATGCACCAGCGCCACTGGGCCCTCTGACCCCCACCAGCAGGCAAGGTGGGTGAAGTTTCTTGCCCAAGGACACAAGAAACTTATAGAGGCGTGTGGAGTGGGGATCGAACCAACAACCTGCCGATTGTGGGGCGAACGTCTACCACCATTGTGGCATAGCATATGATTTCAGCTTGCCAGGGCAGCAACCACCTGTTAGATCCTTCATCAGTTTTGCTTGTACAAATGACTCAAAGTCCTCTAGAGAGAAATGTTGAGTGCATAAAAGTGATTCCTTTTTAATAACAGAAAACAGTGACGTGGTATGGTATTGGCTAAATTTACACCAGTCAAACATAACATGATAAACAACAACTTGGGTAAAGTTAGCCTTCCTATGTTTACTCTGTAGATTCCAGTACAAAATGGATCAAATTGTATCAGAGTTTGGTGCATTCTGTACCTGTGCATGTCTGAATTGTCCAGGTAAAAAAATGGCGACCTCCATGGATAAAAATATTATGGAAGATGTAATTTTTTAAAAAAGTTTTTATGTATCATAAGCAGCAATCTTTTTTTGTTAGCATGAGAGTTACAACATATTTTGGTCAATATGTTCAACTAATCATGGATCCCTTTAGAGACTGACAGTGTAGGAATGGTGGTATTGTACGGAGCCCTGGAGGGACCAAGGGGTATTTTTTTTCTTTTGCGTTACCTCGCAAAACCTTTGCGTCCCTTCGCAGTATGCTTACTGCAATATTTGCTGGTCTATTTTGTATATTGTATATTGTCTATTTCATAAAGTCTACGAATGTCAATTTAGCATTTCAAATACATATATTTAAAGAGCCTAAATGTGCTTAAATGGGTTAATTCGGGGAATCTCATGAGATCCATCGGACAGATGATCATCTGTCCGACGGATGTATCAACCAACTCCAGGCCACTTCTTTTTTCTGTCACAATTATCAATTTAATCCATTTTGATAATCATGCTTCAAACTTTACAAGGACTGCGACACAGACTGACCAGCCCAAACAATGCACAAGTGCCAATGATCAATGGCACTACAACACGGTCAACAGAAACTATGACCACCTCGCGCACCATTTTCCTCATATACACAAAGCCAGTGTAATAGAAAATTTCGTTTTCAGTCTTATTTCATTCTTGAAGGAACTGATGATACTTTTTACCATTTATTTACTGATTATATCTGCTTTGTTTTTGTATTTCTGCAAGATGTGTTTGTCCATTAAATAAGTTTGCAGATAATGTTTAGATGTTTCCGCAGCCGTGATAGGAGAAGAGACCTGAAGACATCTTGGGTAAAATGCTTGATCTGATAATTGTCTTGAAGGGCTGATGTGTGAAATGTAGTTTGTACCCTGTTTGACCCCATGAACTGACAAAGAAGTGTTAGAAGTTCCTCCTGAAATCCTTATCAGCTCTCCATCCTGCCATAAAATCATCTCCTCCAAGAGGTGAGAGATAGTTCATGAGGAGGGGGTCCGGGTGTCTCTGTGGCCATCTGGCAGTAGAGATAACATCAGACTTTGGGCTTGCTGTGACTATATAACGATGTGATGCATGTTGCTCGGGGCTCTTCTCCTGACTGCGCTCAGTGAGAAGGGTCTTCGAATGCTTTTGCCTTCGAATAAAGAAACTTAAAGACAAAGATTAATCTTTCTCTTATTATTGAAACAGATTCTCATTCCTTGATAATGAAATTTCCATAACACCAGCATGCCACCTTCCCATTCATATTTGATGACAATCACACCCACATCGACACACCCACCACCCAAGTGTCAAAGCCGCGTGCTCCTGTTATATCAATAATTACTTATTTCATTCATATGGTTGTTACAAAACCTCAGTGAAAACGTGTTTATTATTATTAACTCCTTGGTGCAAAAAAACTGATTGAAACTCGATTTATTCACTGCATGTTTAAGTTTCTGTAAGGTTAAGATGGAACTGCACATGAAAACAGCCCTTTGAACCATTCAGACTATCAGCACAACAGAGACACAATCAAACTGTCACATTATCCCGGGATAATAACTCAGAAATAGTCCAAATAGTTTGGAAGTAGGACTGGGGGATATGAGGAAAATCCAATATCCTGATATATTTTTGCTATATCACGATACACGATATATCTCACGATATTCTTAAATGAGCTCCAATGTAGTGGTGTGTAAATTGGAGCAACGCACCCGCCACTGTGGTGGGTTGACAATTTGAACTAAAAAAAATAAATCATGTGACCTATTGAGTCAAAATCTGAGTATATTTGAGTGAAATTGTTATAGATCTACAACGCTAGATCTATAACTCTAGACTCTTCCTCTTTAGGTCCAAAAATAATACTTTCGGTGTTGTTTCTGTTCAGCCGCAGAAAGTTTTGGCATTTTTATCTGTTTTAAGCATCTATTCAGTGACTGGAGGGGTTCAGAGTCACCTGGTGACATGGTAATGTAGAGCTGTGTATCGACAGGGAATAAAAAGGGTCAACCCAAATAAAAATGAGTGTACCTCATTTGTACAGAATGGTAGAACAATTTCACACTGATTTTAACTAAATAGGTCAAATAACCTAAAAGCTATTGAAAAGAAATACTAAATTTAAACATAAAAAAATAGGTAACAAAAATAGAAATTTAGTTAAAATAGAGTAAAAATGCATGTGCCTCATATATACAGTTTAGTACAACAATTACACACTGATTTCTAGTCAATGTTGCACACAATATGGAAGCTATTGAAGAAAACATTATATTATTTAACATTAAAGTCATTTAAAATATTGAATATGACTTGACATTTTAATAGAGGGTAGTGTGTCTCATGTAAAAGCTGAATTACCACTTTTTGGTATCAGTTGGTCACAAGGCAAGGCATTTATTAACATTTGTTTGACAGGATTGTTTGGTTCGGAAATTTGTTGACAGTCCCTAAGTGAACCTCTGAGCGCTGAGGAGGCAGCTGGAGAACGGCTGGCCAGAATTAGCGTTCATAAATCGGATCAACCTTGAGCTAAACACCGCTTGCTCGGTGGATATCGGAATATCCGATATCCAACTCGGAACTAACTTCACTGCAGTCAGTAACACAATAAAACCACCAGGATAAAGTTTTTGATCTGTGGCCTGTAAATATGGCACCGAGTGACTGGACCTAAACGACCCCACAACATCTGACACAGTTACGTTGTTCTATTGACCAATAGTAGAGGAGCTGGACATAGAAAGCAGCTCTCCTCATTAACATAACGATGCACACAGAAAAGTAAAAACAGGAAAGAAGAGGCAATGACAAAAGAACGAGGGCTTGTATTAGGAAAAGATAAAACAAAATATTTACTATTATGTCAGTTTTGGTCCTCCACAGTGTGGCTGGTGGAGAAAATTTTTAATTTCCACCCCTGGCATGATGTCACTCACGCAAATTCCCGCCCCCATTTCCCTCCTAGACTTAAATGTAAGCTCATATAAAAAGGGATGCAGTGTTTTGCTATGGACT